GCTTCCAAAGGCTACCCCTTACCAGGGCCCTCCCAGGACAATTATATAAATAGGGGTGGAAATAGCAAACCTCCCTGCAGAGGGCCTGATCTTTTGGAAAAGCCCTTTCTGCTTTGTAAGCCAAGCTTGGAATCTACTTAGAAGCTCTAACGTTTTGAAGCTACACTATACTATACTATGCTATACTTTGCTTGTACTATGCTTTGACTAGTTGTACTACTTGATACGAACCCATGTCCCGGAAATTTATTATTGCCACCCCACCCCCTTCCGTAAACCAAAAACGGAAAACAAGTTCTGGGGTAGGGGGCATTCTCTATTGTAATGGCGACATTAATTTCTCCAACCCCTATCACGTGACTGCAATAAGGTCCTAATTTTAGGAGTTGGGGTAGCGGATTCTATGATAGCATTACTTGCGGCTTAAATCACTTTTAACTACGCCTCAAGTTTGTGTTTTCAACCCAAGGGAGAGCCAACAACTTTCAAGCTTACATGCCTGACCACCATAATCAACACCCCATGCACACACGCTCCAGTACTCCAAGCAATCCTTATAAACACACCTATCAACCCTAAACCCTAAACCCTCAACCCTAAACCCTAAACCCAAAAACAAGGTGGTGAAGATAAGCTCTGCCCTTGCTGTGGCTGTAAGAGCCTTCGGCTGGTCGCCTGCTACCTCACGAGCAAATGTGGGGACTTCACCAAGTTTAAGGTTTAGGTTTGAGGGTTTATGGGCTAGGGGGATGTGTGGGAGTTTCCAAACATTGGTGGCACCCTTGTAGACCCCAATTTGATGTAAGCCTTGTTTGCGGGACTCCCAAAAAAAAAGGTCCCAAATTGTTGGAAACTCCGCGTGGTTAAGGGATCGGTCAGTCGAATGGCCCCTGCGAGAATTTCCAAGACACAGATGTCTACCTCACATACATGCAAACCTAATCATCCTGGTTATGAGGACCCGCAAAAAATGAGGGACCTCGAATTTCCGAGACCCTGATCCTTGCAAACCATTCCATAAACGCAGTTTCCACTGCATTTTCTCTTTTTTTCTCTATTCATCTCCATTCTTGGAGTACTATCCCTAAACCCTACATCATCCCTATGGCCCTATGGCCCATGTTGGGCCTAGGTAAGTCATTGGATTCTTGAAAAAAATTAACTCCCCCTTGTCAAATATCCGTCGATCTACCTCAAATCTTTGCAGACAACATTTCGGTAAGGCATGCCGTGAGATGCAGTCCTATCAAAACTGGGGCTCACCTTTTTTCCGCTGATTTTTGCCTTTCTCACTCGGATCTTAAGCTCTTTGGGTATAAGAAGGCCAGTTGACAGCACAGATTTCCCAGCCATTCAAGGATCAGAGCGATGACCATCGAAGAAGTTTATTGCGCAAAACGTGTATTGTAGTGCACAACCATACAAAATCCTCTCCCCCATCATCAAACGACCCCATTGAGGTGTAGTATTATTGCAATATCATAGTGGGAATGGTAATCAACGCGGGAAAAGGCTACACGTTCTCATTCTGAACGTTGGTGACTATAGAAACCACAAATAAACATAGTACCCAAACCCTTTCGAACCCAGAACTCACTTTAAAACCCAAGAAGCCCTGGTCCCGTATTTAAATCAACCCCCAATTCCTGTATAGTTTTCCATGCGGATTCTGCACTAGCACCCTGGCCCTATGCCCAATACTCCCCTTATAACCTCGGGTTGAAATATGGTAGTTTCTCAAAACAAGCAGACACTAATATAGACCCCAAAATACTATAATCCCTTTTATGGGGACCCCCATAATAAGCTACCCTTAACTTTGGGAAACCCCTATGTAAACCTAGACTTCTGCAACCCTTTAACCCTAAACCCCAAACCCTAAACCCTAAACCCCAAACCCTAAACCCCCTAAAACCCTAAACCCATGTTGAGGACCATGCCAGGGGCAGCCGTCTTTCGACGAAGCTACTCCGAGGCCTCTCTGCCACGAGCGGTTTAGGGTTTATCTAGGGGATTATGTAGGGTTTAGGGTTTAGGGTTTAGGGTGTAGGGTTTAGGGTTTAGGGTCTAAACTCCTTGAAGGGGGTTATCTAGGGGATAATATGAGGTTTAAGGCCTAATGTAGACCCCATTCCTTTTTAGGGCCTTAATACTAGGATCCCTAGTATAAGCCCTATTAAGGGGAGGGGGCTTCATGATCACGGGTCTACATTAAGAGGCAAGTGTGATGAACCATGTTTAGGGTTCGGGCTTTGGGTCTAGGGGCTAAGGGATGGCATTGTAGGTATATTTAGGTCTATATGAGCCGGGCTATGTAGGCATACATACGTGTATATACATATATATATACATATGTCTGCATGGGTTCTAAAGCAAGTTTTTGGGTTTAGCAATTGGTCCAACGGAAAAGAATTATGGAAACTGGAACGGAAGCTGGCATAATCTAGCAGCTCAGAGTTCAGGGTCAGGTAGCCGTGTCACAAAACACTTGCGTTCTCTATGGTGGTCATGATGAGAGACTACTCAGTACAACACATTACAGTACCTGGTCATAACCTGTTACTTCCTACTGCTGGCTCCTGGCACAACTGAATGGTTCCTGAAAACTGAACGCCGCACGCAACCTTTTCATGTTGGTAGTGGCGTTGTTCAAAAGCAGCCAAGACAACAAATAAAATGATCAAAATATTGCACCATTTCAACCTGGGTGCGTCACATTATTAAAAAGGAGGCGAGTGGGTCGTACGGGTGCTGATTCTGTTTGCAAAAGGGTGATTAAACAATCCGCCATCCACTATAACCCAGCTTCTGTTGCTGCTGTTGACAAAGTACTGCTTCCGTTGCAAGTGTGGCGGCGGTCGAGGGCTGGTGGCTGTCACACTAATCAGGATTCGGCATTCCTTGCATGACCTCTGCTGTGTGGGGGCAGAATTCTGCTTGGGACGGAGCGGCTCTACACATGAGAAATCCTGAACAACACCAATTCAGTGCATGTATGCAAGAATGCAGGGTGTTACCGTTCTGCGCACGAACGAGGCTCCGGCACTCCCAGAAGTCGACATCCATGCGTCTTCAGCCTGCGGGGTGATGTAGCTCTTGGACTTTCAAAAGCCTGAAACAACCTCCATTACACCATTTCCCAAAACAGACATTGACGTGGCACCCCTTTTAGGCTGCACAGGCCGTGGCAGCATGAAATCATGCTAGAGCACAATCCAAAAGACATGTTTTATGACATGGCGGGTACAGCGAACTGGCGGCCCGGGCTTCTGGTGAAGGGCTGGCTGGTCGTCACGCGGCGCGCTGCCTAGTACCTGCCGCAGAACACATCATTTCAAAGCTACAGGCTTTCTAGTAAGGCTGCGCACGTACAGCTCCAGGTCGGACAAGTCAGAGCTAGCTGCTGCAACACTTTCGCAGATACCTGGCACAACAAGTGTTATTGGCAGGTGGATGGGGTTCTATTTGAGACAACTGTTGCTCGTACTCACGGCAGTCAACTGCGTTCTTCAGCGCCGACTCGATGAGATCAGCGGCAATCCCGAACAGCCGTGAGTTGCTGATGGGAACAGCTACCAAAAGCTCACGGTTGTGATGTTGGAAGGCCGCGTCCCTACCCACAACTCACTGCCATTCATTGCCTGAGGAACGCGGTGCTGACTAAGGGCCGTTTGCGCGGGACAGGGCCTTGCAGCATGCGTCCTTGCAGGAACTATGCTGCTTGTCTAGCAAGCCCAGACCCAAGTCCTCTAAAAGTTGGATGTGGGCAAGCAGTCTATAATTACTCAAGATACAAGTAAGTTCTGAAATGCCGCAATGCCATGCCTGCATCGAACGAAGCCTCCGAGGCCTGAAACAGATCTTCACGACCCAGGAAAATGCCGCGGGATGCTATGATACAAGCCGTAAAAAAGGCACCTATGGGAGCCCTGCTGAAGCAGCTGGCAAACAAAATCCTCATCTCCACTGGCTACCACGAACTGTTGCCATTTCAGAAATCATGAAATTCTTCGGTTGTTGGCTTGCTGGGCCTTTCCTGTCAGCTTTGTGGCTTTGCCCATGGCACCATCGGCGTTTTGACCGGAATCTCGCTCTTCACAAGCAAGGTTGCAGTCATCACTCGCTAGCTTTGGTGAAACGCCTTCATTGAACAAATCTTGTCACACGGCGCAACGGTAGCGGTTTATTCACCCGAATAGGTGTCTTGGCTTCAACTCAGTACCTAGCAATCATGTGATCTAAAGTTAACCTTCTTCTCCATGCCATACAAAGTGGTAACTCAGGCGTCGTCGCATGCATTGCCCTGGCTTGAAAGACCCGCATCCCCACTACCCAGGGGGTAGCAGCAGCGACTGTGGGTATGCTCCGAGCATCGGAGCTTGCGAACTCGAGTTTGCCAGTTCCTGCATGTACGTAGGGTCCAACCAAATGCCCAAATCAAGCGAACCACTGTGTTCACAGATGCCGCACTTGACTTGGCCCTTCATTCACTCGCAAGGCCTAACACTGGGTTGTCCTTGCCGGTTTGGTTTTGTTCTGCCCGCTGGCCTGCTTGGCAGGGACTGGAGAGGTCGGGCGTCGAAGACGCTGTTGCTGCGCTTGCCAAAGCACTTCCAAAGTGCTGCGATGCCCGGCTTTGCGAGCGTAGTCGAGGGCACTGCACCCTGCCTGATCCACCTTGCATTAGACAGGCATGAGAAAGGCCTGCAGCAGCATAAGAAACATAAGAATCCTGTCTGGAGCTGGCCTGCGCTGGGTCCGCGTCGTGGGACAAAAGGCGTGCACACAAAGCGCTGTTCCCGTCCGACGCTGCCCAGTGCAGTGCCGTCCACTCTTTGCGCCCCTCATGCACAGCCTGCACGCCAGCCAAATGCAACGTTCTTGCGCCCCGAATGCTCAGAAACGCTCAAAGTTGACATGTCTGTCCTGCCAACCATACTTCTCCACGGCTGTGACCGCTGCTGCGAGCACGGGGTGCATTGTCCCAGTCTCGTCTGAATAAGAGGCCTGTGGGCTGTACGAAGCACTGAAATGCACCTGACAGCTGCATCCAGCTACTCTAAAGGCTGGCCTGGCCAGGTTCAGCATCTTCAGCTGTAGATCCATGTGCCAGGAGAAGATTGCAGACCTGGAAATCACAGGTTGCCCACCCACTCTCACCGACTCACGGACATATTAGGCATCTGACCTTCCATCTGTACACACATGCACCTCCCACAGCAGTCTAGTCAGTGGCAGAAGCTCCAGTTGACTGACTTCTTTACACAGCACACCCTGCTTGGCCCCACTTGGCTCCTTATTAACAGCGCCTGCTGACACAACGAAATCCGAAACCAAGTGCGCCTACCAAGCTCTTCTTCTGTACCTGATTCTCTATGGAATCTTACTATCTTGGGACCAGAAGCAGCCCTAGCACCCATGTCTACTGAGCACATATTATCCTGTTAGGAGACCAGGGCCGCAGAATGGCACGAGCCGAGCTACTTATGGAGGAGCATCTTCAAAAGTCAGGGTACTGAACCCCAGCGGTAAAATCTAGGCCCTAGGCGGGGACCAAAGGAAGGCATGATTTTGTGGCTTCCCTGCCTAATGACGCACGTCATGCAGCCTGACCGAACTACTCTAGAACATTTAAGCACAAAAGAAAAGCACAATTACACTTATAGAAGCTTCATAATTACCAAGAACACCTGCGAATTGCTCAAACAAACCTGTTTGACCCTCTGAATAAGTACCTTTACGGGGCGTGTTACTTTTCACCCTTCATGTTTATCTTTATTGCTAGGGCTTTCCGCATTACTTAGCGAACTGAATCTCAGGTCGAAAGGAAAAATTCCTAAGCCCTAGGCTACACTCAACAGTGCCTTTAGGTTCATGAGTAATTATAATTGGGGCTACAAGAAGGGCAACGAGTCGAAACTGTTGACTTCTGCTTTTGCTCGTTGCCTCGGTCTCCCCGGCTTCCTCTGCGCAGTCCAATGGCGTCCACCCACGCTCATCCTCATGATGGGGGGTTGTAGGCATATGGGTTGTTCTCAAAAGTATGGGCCCCTTTGTGGTATAGATTATATTATGGCAACGAATGTTTACGGGTACCAAAAAGCGGCCTAATTTTGGAAAGTACCCATGTTACGAAAGACTAGTGTAGGTCATAACCTGGTTGGAGGTTGAATGTTTTTCTGCATGGCATGGGGATTTAAAAGGGTCATGGGGAGTTAAAAGGGTCTTCATGGGGACCCAAGAAAGATTAATGAACATTCGCGGGGATTGAGAATATTGAGGGATATTCATGGGGATGCAAGGGGCAGGGTTTCATTCTGCAACATGGTCTTGATGGGGCCCAAAATGTCAGGAAGGATAGGGAATGGTTTTGTTTAGTTGTAGGAAGAGCAGTCAGTAGTAATGAGTAGTAGCGGCAGCAGCAGTCGTAGAAGCAGTAGTAGAAGCAGTAGTAGAAGCAGTAGTAGTAGTAGTAGTAGTAGGAGGAGCAGCAGTAGTAGAAGGAGCAGTAGTAGTAGTAGCAGTAGTAGTAGTAGTAGTAGTAGTGGTGGTAGTGGTAGTAGTAGTGGTAGTAGTAGTAGTAGTAGTAGGAGGAGGAGCAGCAGTAGTAGAAGGAGCAGTAGCAGTAGCAGTAGCAGTAGCAGTAGCAGTAGCAGTAGCAGTAGTAGTAGTAGTAGCAGCAGCAGCAGCAGCGGTAGTAGTAGCCGCGGGATTGGAGTAGAGATTGAGTGCGCCCATCATGAACCTGGGAACCAACAACAAAGCGCAGGGGCCATAGTATCCTGATACATAGCCCTAAACCCTATGAACTCAGAACCTCAGACAAAGAACAAAAGCAAACAAAAAAAAAAACAGAAAGCGCTGGACCCCAACACCACGAAGCTCTAAGTCCTTCAAGCCTGAAGAGGTCATGTCCCAAGTAGAGGGACCCCAATATAGACCCCAAAATACTTATTCATTAAAACGGCACTCTTTGATCCCAGTGTCCATTTCATTTTCCATGTTCTTTTCCACTTGGTTCTCCATTATTGGGGGTTGTACACGCCTTCTTCTGGGAAACCCTTCCCCTACATCCCCATGAATAACCCCTACATATCCCCTTCAACCCCCTTTAAAGGAACCTCTAACTTTGGGAAACCCTCAAGAACAGCAAAGCGCTCCTCGCAGAAAGGATCTGCTCCCGCGGCCAGCAGGCGGCGACAGATTTCCAGCCGACCTTCGGAAGGGCTCTGCTTTAGGTGGACCCTACCCAGTAATAGTGACTCTACGGGATAATAGGGAGTATATTAGGGTCCTCTTATAATCCTATCATACCAGCATTACAGGGTGGGGGGTCCTCCTTAGCTCTGCTGCTTTCGTGCTGCTTTCAATTATGGTTTAAGCGAATCATAGGGGTATATGGCGGGTTATGTAGGTATGGGGGGTACATAGGGATACGTACGCAAAGGTGAGAAACAATTGAGGGCAAGAATTACGAGGCTCTGCTGCTTTCTTCTTTGCAAGGGGGAAGGCTTATCATGGGCTCTCCCCTCTTCACCCCCCCCACGAGGACTGGGAACAGTTTCCAAAGGGGAGTGGGCCAACTAGTGGTTCTCAGTAGGGAATAAAGCAATATATAGGGATTATATGGGGGTTATATTCCCTTATGCACTACTAAGAACCAGTAAGTGAAAGGGGATGGCTTAATCTGGTTGGAGGTCTCTGCATGTTTGCAAAGATAACTTTCCGCAGCTTGATGCAATCCTACGTGCGTTGACGATAGAAGAAGGACCCCTAGAAATCCCAATATGAAACGAGGACCCCATAAAAGAAAGATCACCAACCAATATGGGGGAGGCCACATACATGCTGTGATCACATACGCTGTCGGATCCCCGTTAAGAGACGGCACCAGCGGTTTGACAACGTGACACGGTGCCATCCTTACCTGTGATGTGTTGCGCAGCTGGAACTCTGATGGCCGGAGCGGGAGACAACCGCAAAAAGGCTATCCAATCTGTACTGCTGCCCCCTTGCCGCATGTTCTTGTTGCACCCATCTGTCATCTCTTCAGGTAAAGCAAGTGTCCAACCAAGGTTGCGCAGCAAGCGCAGTAGATACTAGACACGAACATCCATCCCCCACCGTATGTCCAGGGCGCCTTCCATGGCTGCCCAGTGGAGGATAGTCCAGGCTGGAGGGTCGTCCAGAGGATATACAGCGCTCCAGCCGTGCGTCTCGATGCCTGGCACTCTGGGGGACTGGAAGCGGGCAGATTGCACAGCCAGGTTGCTGGTACGAAAACAGCTGGAATCGCACCACTGTGCCCAAAAGCCTATCTAGTCAAGTACGCACATTCCCCGCTCAACTTTTGAGGCTTGCCGTAACAAACAACCAGTCATCGAAGCTTGCAGCCTTCTAGCGCAGCTGCATACACCAAGGGCATTGACGAGCTTCCGCCGCTTTCGGTGGCAGGACCTGCTAAGAGTTTGACTATCAGACAGGAGTGAGTCTTGCACCACTTGGGACAAAAAGCAACCAGGAACCTCTCAAGTTCAAGCCTTTACCCGCGGAGCAAGGTGAACGTACCCGTATACTCTTTGCAGAAAGATGATCACACGTGTGGGTGGTTGTCAAAATTATGGTCCTTTTTGGGGTACCCTACATATTAGGTGCCGTATTATAATAGGGATCCCAAAAAGGGACCATCTTTTTGGCAACGGCCCATGTGGGCCATGGTCTAAACTCCTAGTATCCCCCTTATAGTAGTTTCCATTTGCTTTTCCATTATCCCCATATAACCTTAATATATAACCCCCTTTAAGGAGCTTAGATTTTGACAACCATGTGGGCCTCCCTCCGACTCGAACGAGGTGGTCGTGGAGAGCAGCTGCACAGAGGCGCTCGGAAGCTCGTCTTGCACCAGGACCTTCCTGAGCTTGGGATGGCCATTAGGGCTTAGGTACTATATTATAATAGATTATACTATATTATAGTATATCATACTATTTTGTAGTATAATATTTCAAAATATAGTATAGTATAATATGTTGTAGTATATTATATTATGTATTGTATAGTTTAGGGTTTAGGGCCTGATCCATTTTGAACTGCTCAACTGCTGGTGGTCATCTTGCCTGTATCAGTGTGCGACAGGAGTGCACATATCACATCTGTCTGTACTCTACAGGCTAATTCAGAATAAATTCGATTCCCAATTTACAGCCATTTTGGTACTATTCCCTATATAAAGCACCCTTTAGGGTGAGGTCGCTTCAAGTTGCCCAGTCCTAGCATCCTTGGCAGAACTACATTGGAGTGCCTTCATGTTGGGAGGTTCATCAAGGGTACATCTACTTTTTCAGACAGAGCCATGCTACAAGTCTGCACAAATACGTCTACATAAGCCTGTTCAGGTTTAGTACAAAATTTCTCCATGAACCCCTACATCAACACTTCTCGTCGGGCCCAAGGGCACGTCAGGCACAGCTGGCGGGTGGTGGCTGAGGAACTTCTCAACCTGTTGCCCATTACGCATATGGATATCTTGGCTCTTTCGCATCCCCCATCTACACGGACATCATGAGGATACTATAGGTGCCACCAGGTGTTTTCAACCCTAAGCCCTAAACCCTAAACCGACACTTTGGGGTTCTCTCTTGTCAGCTCCTACTTTCTCTCGATAGACCGAAGGGAAGTTTGGATAATACTTGAGGTCCAGGTTTGACAGACGAGGGCTCCAAGAGATATTAGGGGCTATATTACTATATTACTATTACTATGTTACTATAATATTATATTACTATATTACTATATTAGTCCCTTGTTGGGAGTCCTTCTATTGATATTCAGGGGCTAGGTAGGGGTGACCCCCTTTTTTTGGGACTGCTTTCTGGGGTGTCGAGGGGTTCTTTGCACAACGGGTCCAGGTGCGATAAGAATGTCATCGGCAAATCTATGTTGTACAGTCTGGCGGGGTCTGCGCGTGGTGGGGCATGATGACTTCTAGATAGAGGCTAGGCTAAGCGTAGTCTCAACAGGCGAGATGTGCCTGGGATACACCCTGTTTGTTGCGCATGTAGAAAAGTATCTGAACGTGCAAAAGCATCAGCTTCGCTGCTCAAGGCTCAGCAGTCTAGCCAATGCTGCCACAATCTAAATATATATATATGCATAAATATATATATATATATTGTGAAAAAGCAAGGGGTTGCCCTGATCAGAGTGGATCAGAGTGTGTCGCTTGCATGCCCACACTTTGTAGCATTGTAGCAGAAACCTGGCCCAACCTACCCGAGTAAAGTCGCATGGCAGAAGCCCAAAGGAATACTTGTAAGGCCCAAAAGAACACTTGTGCTCACCTTGTTTGCACACATGCGTGCTGCTACTTCTGCTTTGTACTTCTTCTGACTACTCATGTACCCCTCATGGCTCACGAAGTTGTGATGGTCAGCACTCTGAACTCGTGCGTCCTTAGTACTCTAGCAGGCTGCAGCGCATGTCGATGAACCTCCTGCTCCGCAGCGTCGTCCAGCTCCTGTCATGGCTGCTCTCTGAACAAGTTTTATCAGGGTCTGCTTGGGCCTACTGTTCAACTTCTGGTCTCAGCTGGCAGACAGCTGAAAACATACTAAACCATCCAAGAAGCCTGTAGAAACTGTACAATCTTACAGTACAGCAGGCAGATGCAGCACACAATCACACTAGTGCTGGTGGCGTGGGGTCAAAAAAAGGCAAACCCCCCCGTGCCCCTGGCACAGTAGTTCAAGCAAGCGGGGAGCATTGAAGACTATCAGGGAGGAGGGGCGGGTGTTTGGGAAAAGGGCAACAAGAACCGCACGCGGGCAGTGTTTCTTTACCAAGTAAAGGAGAAGATTTCTCAAACTACATTGGGGCTATGATATCTCTGCTTCATACTACTCAACCCCCCAGACCGAAGATTCCAAACCGTGGCAGCTCCTGCATGGGACCGGGGTTCTCGAGCTGGGCAGCGGCCACCAGCCCGGACCTCAGCAAGCCGTTCGTGCGACCAGCGTTGCTGTATATTGCTGGTGATGGCGGCAGCGATGGTGGCGCTCGTGTTCGTGGCCGTTTTCTTGGTCCGATTGCTAGTAGTAGTTCTTTTTTATTCACATAATCGTAATGGTAATAACGGCAAAAGTAATAGCTGCAGCCGCAGCAGCAGCCGCCGCCTTCATCGCAGTAGTGCTGCTGTTGCTGTTGTTGTTGCTGCTGCTGCTTCTGCTGCTTCTGCTGTTAAAGCTGAAACATTGTTAACCCCCAATTAAATGTATTCTACCTTGTTCTTCGCCATTGCACCTCTGCACTCAGCATGGGGCCCACTGTGCCAAGCCCTTTCACGAGGCCCGCGCAGAGCTCGTTGTGGCTGCGATCTGGAACCTGTCGCACGGGACGACTCCCACGTTTTTGCAGCCTCGGTTCACAATTGCAGCTGCCCTAGATGTCCCTGAGCCCACTGGGATGGAGAGTGTGCTCTCTGCATTGCAAGTGTTATGGAACCCGAGTTTCCAGTTTAATGTTCATGTCATTTTCTGCTTCATTCTATGTTATTGAGATAACATCCTCTCGAACCCTACATTTAACTCAAGTTCGGCAAAGGTACGGTTTTCAACACCGACTCCGCCTGTGCTCGCGCAGCCTCCACAGGCAGGTATTACCCACCGGGTCCATGTAGGTAGTTTAGGTTTTAGGGCTTGGGGATATACTAAGGGTCCAGAGGGTTTCCCATCTAAGTACTTGAGGCCCAAGTATATGGCATATTGCTCCATGATCGGTTAAGGTTAGGATCGGTTAGGAATTCTGCAAGATACTCATTGAATCTTCTAGAAGCTGAAGGGCATCTTGAGGCTGAGATCTTATCGCGGTCCCTAAAATGAGGATCGTTAACGTGTAGTATATTGTAGCGTGATGAAGGGGATTCCTAACATCATGCGCAATGTCTGCGCAGCTACAGGAGCAGCTTCAAGCAATTCACCACTGCACACAGCACCCTAAACCCAACAATTTCAATGCGCGTGTGGAACCAGAAAGAACACCAAGTTCCTGCAAAATCCTAAAGATCATATGCTAGTTTCCGTAAAGTTGGGGGACCCCAGTATGGACCTAAAATAGTACAATCCTTACTATCAGGAACCCCCAAAAGATATCCCACTTACCATCGGAGAGGACCCTAAACCCTAAACCTTAACCCTAAATGGTAGTTTCCCAAAATAGAGGGACCCCAATATAGACACCAAAATACTATAATCCTTATTACCAGAAAGGTATTCCCTAATTTTGGGAAACCCCAAATGGGAAAGGTGCCTGAGCAGATGCCAGACTCCTGTTCCATGCAGCAGCCGCCGCACCTTTGCTACTGCCAGTGTCAAACATGGTGGTTTCTATAAATGGGGGGCCCCAATGTAAACATTGAAATTTCAATAATCCCTGTTATCAGAACGCCAAAGATGGGACCCCAAATTTTACACCCCCTCAAATGTTTCTCCAACGATCAGCTGCATAACTGCTACTGGCTGACCTAAAATTACATGAGAAAAGTCGTCTGCAATGCTGGATCACAATTGTGTCGGCAAGGCTAGCCCTACAGCTGCCCCACATACCTTAGGTAGACCCTCCACAAAGTAATAGTGGTATTATGGGATATAAGAGGACCCTAAAATGATCACCATGGTCACTAATTGCTGAGTGGGGGGGGGTCCATCTAACATACACCATACAACCCACGAAAGGACATCCAGGCTCTGAGAAACACGCCCAGGCTTGGAGAAACAGCCAAGGCGCTGTGATGGGCTGCCATCTCCTGTCAAGGCATCTCGGGTCAAGCAAGGCAACCCGGGAGGGAAAGGAGCAAATATATGGGATATATAGGGATAATGGAAAATAAAATGGAAACTAGTATATAATACTATAATAATAAATATAGGTCACCAGGTTTAGGGTTTAGGGCTCCTAGTCTCCCCCTTGAAAGTGGAGAATCAAATGGAAAAGAACATGGAAAATGAAATGGAAACTGCAATATATGGGGTTATGTAGATGGTTATAGGGGCTATAGTCCAAATTCCTAGTATCCCCCTTAATAACCCCTGTAATACTCCCCCATATAATCCGCTAGATCACCCCCTTTACGGAGTTTAGACTCTAGCTCAAATAGTTGTGAGGAGGTCTCCAACGCCACGCGGGCTGTGGGCAAGATGCAGCTTATGTCTGGTGGTATGCGTAGGCTAACTGGAGTGCTCTCCTCAGTTAGAATTCTTAAAGCCACTACATACAACGACGCGTGAACCTTCAAGTAGCAAATTCAGGTATAGTACCTGGTTGGCAAGACCGCCTAAACCCTGAACCGTGCGTAGTAAGAGGCCTCTGGTAGCTCCAACACCTATAACAAACACCCTCTACAGACCGAGAAATATGAGTCATAGGGTCCTGTTTGGGTGTTGGAATGCCGAACAGTAAATCCCCTTGTTCGTGTGGCCCCTCCTCCCTCGCCCGCTGTTGCGCAGTTTCGAGACGGGACAGCTGGGATGCCGCATCCTGGCGTCGGTCTGGCTTCAAGCACCGCACATCATTGCCCGCGATAGCGGCTACCAGAGGCATGGATCCCTACAGTCTAGTCCTTATACGATCCCCTACCATGCGTGGATGATCTTCTGATTTAGTAAATCTAACTAGTATCCCCAAGAACCCCCATCACAATCCCCATAAACCCTGTTACTAAGTAGACTTACTGATTCAAGAAAGCCTGCCAGTGATCCCCATGTCCTACCATCTGCTTTTCCTCTTGTGCTCCCCACCTCCAGCTGAGATGTTGAGGCAGCCAACTGCGTCTCGCTCAGCTCCCTGAGTGCCACACTGGAGCTTCCCATAGAGTTTGAGGTTTAGGTTTATGGTGGTTTATGGAAACGGCGGGCCTCTAGTCAAGGGGTCTTAATAATCCTAGAAACCTTCAGGAGGAGCCCACATGAACCCGTCCCAATCCCCATGTGTCCAAGGGCTCCTCAAAAAAAATTGCTTTGAGACCACCCCCCACATGCCAAAGGTATATGCAGAGAGAGCCGGAGTGCCACTACTGGGCAGCTGGATAGGACTAGGCAGGCATAGTGCAAAGCACTGGTGCCAACTTTTTGTAAGAAGCACAGGATACTACCGGTAAAATGGTTGTAACTTAACCTCCCTACGTAGGGTAGGCGTTGATGCCACGATGACTCTGATATGCTGCTGGGAAACCGCATCCGCTGCAGTTGCTTCTGCTCCTGGGAAGTCATTCATTCGGCGCTCAACCAAACCAAGGACCAATTCGACGCATCAATAGGGCTTCTGCAGGGATACAGGGTCTTTATAGGGGTTATACAGGGGTTATATAGGGATAATGGAAAAGAAAATGGAAACTACTATTTAGGGTTTAGGGAAGTCTGTTGATTCTTGGCCTCGTCCAGCTGTGCTCTTGCAGTGGCCAGCTGTTGTTCACTGGCTTCCCTTGGCTGCCACCCGTAAAGCAGCCAGCGCGGTTGACAAGATACTACTAACAGAATCCTGCACAGTCTGAGGTACAGCGGGATGCTGCGGTAGACCCTGGCGTCTCAGCAAGAGCTGCCGTCGTCATGCTCGGATACGCAAGAAAAGGTCTGATGCACACATCACACACTGAAATGCAGAGCAGGTTGCTTGATCTGCCGCAGCTGCGCCTGCTCCTGCTAGCAAGGATCCGGGATACCAATCTGTGGCTCAGAGCTGTGTAGTGTGGTGTCCCTGTACTACGTGAAGAGCATCTTCATGCGCAACAGCTCCAAGTGGCCAAACTTGCAGACACGCCTGACGAGCCGCCTGCTTCATCGCCTGCTCAGTGCTTTGGACCTTCATTTGTAAGGCCATCTCCTGAGGCGGCGCAGAACAAGAGACTCCCCCACAGGAAGCATCAGCCTGGGAAACGGAGCATTTGTCTGAGGGCCGTGCAGCGTACTGCTCATCGGCTGCCAAACTCACGGCGGCCTCCTACGCGAAGTAGCGCGAATGCAAACTGGACCCAGTAATTGAAGGGAGTCTCCGAGGCAGCTGTGTGCAAGTACAGTGAGGCCTACAATGCCGCGCTATGTAGAGCCATGTACGATACAACTTACGCTACAAACATTTATGTATTTTTCTCCGGGTCTCGAAGCTTCCTAAGGAATGTCGGCCGATCCATCACACGCCTGCTCCTGGCGCAGCATGCGGAGCTCAGAGCGGCATTCCTGTCGGTGGCCAAGAATGCATATTGTTTCAAGAGTGGTTCAAACAAGAGAGTGGTTCAAACTAGAGGCTGCGCTCCAGCATCATGCCAGGAAGGTGAACTAAAGCACCAATTGCCCTCTTCCAGAACTCAGGATTCATGAGAACAACTGACTTCCCTCTGTATTTTGCACATGCATGTTTCATGTAGCATGGCTCGCAGCCTGGCCTTATGATGGTCAGATCATGTACACTCCCCAAGCTAAGATAGACTAAGATAGAGCCCCAAATGGGCATTCCCTGATTTTTGGAAACCCCCATACTGTGCATAGCTACAGCACTGGCTAGATAACAGTTTCCGCTTACAAGTAGGTGAAGCTAAGATAGCGCCACCCCTCGGATCCTTGCGGGCGGCGAAGACGCGGAGCTGCGCTCGCTCCTGGATGGCATCGCCTTAGGCTTGTGGGCGGCTTGTGTCTAGGGTTCAGCCCTTTTTCGCATCTGGACTCAAACCCTGAACCTCTGAACGCGGATTTGGGGTTCGGGGGGCTTTGGGGGGTCTAGGGCTCAACCCTTGCACTAAGAGAAACCCGCAAAATCTCTAGGGAGATGTGGGGCTTAGAAAGGCTTTATGAAGGTCCCCAATTTCTAGAAGGGTAACAAATCAAGAGCGAAACGAGCTCTCATACTTCAGTGCTAGGGCCTTGATACCACAAGGATTTCTTCAGACGCACAACCCGTGGGCTGCTTAAAGAAGGGTCTGCCGCTACCTTTGTTCAACAGACGAAGGCCCCCCCAGCCAGTCCTGGAGTGTCCCAACACTTCAATGAGGTTTAATGTAGACCCATGATTAATAAAGCCCCTCCTTTTACGGGCCTTAATGATCGGATCCTTAGTATAATCCCTATTAAGAGGGGAGTTTACTACTATCATTATTACTCCTACTATCCCTATTGATTACATTGCGGCCCTACATGAGGGTTGATGGTTTGTTTGGCCAGGACAGAGAATAAGCGGAGATGCTGCTATTTCGCGTGTTCGGGTGCCATACTGTAGGTATATTAAGGCCCTCTGAACTCCAGATTTAGGGGCCATCAACTCCCCTAAGCCCTAAACCGTAGGCGGGGTTGACCTAAGATCTAGCCCAACCAAAACTGCCGTTTGGTGACTTGCTGCCGCCATCTCTTCCTGGATACGAAGGAAAATGCGACTTCCACTTCAGTTCACCCTCCCCAATATGGAAAGCCTTCAAGCCTCCACCCTTGAAATATTAATAGGCTAATATGGGAGGGGCACGCATATTTTGTGATGAGGTCTTCTTCAGTTGGATCTCTTCCTTGTCCACGACAACAGGCGTCTTGCCAGTGCGCCACTCTAGTTCCTCTTACAGAAGCCTGCTATCCTCAAGGGGTTTCCATAAAGTAGGAGCCTGTTCGTGGAGTCCCATTGAACACGTGCTTGGCTAAAAGCGTGTGATGGGGGCATCCTGTGCTCCGCAACACTGCACCACCGTGGAACATGCCCGGGGCCGGAATGACTCCGCAAACGCACAAGGAGGCACTGCAAAAAAAGACAACAAAATTCCTGAGTCATATACAACGCCACGGACGTCGACGATCTGTAGGATGATGGAATCCAAAACAGGCGCAAAGCAAAGCACATTGTATAACCGTTGGCCAGCCATCACATTATCCAATCTCAAAACCGTCAGCAAGCGTCCATAAAAGTGACCCCATCCCTGTTGTTCAGCAAGCCACAAGAGATAGAATTCCGAGGCCGAATGCTCAGTCAGGAATGAGATACATAACTTGAAGCCATGTGAGTCCTTATAATATGGATTATGCAACCATTGGGGCGTAAATGGCCATGGTATACACATTGTGCCGCAATCAGCATAACAGTACTGGGGCTGCAGGTCCTCAAGACAGAGATTGCCTCAGGGGCTCAAGGGATTCGGGGTTCCCTTTGCGAGGTGCCTCAGCAACTCCCCACATTCTATCCACCTTGCTTTATTACATACGCATATTAGAGCAACATGCTTTAAATCCCTTAGGCCCTTATAGAAACCTTACACACCCCCATCTTCCACATAATTCCCGTGTCTTCTCCATTTGCTTCTTCATGAAACCCTAAACCCATAGATCCCCATAAAACCTACGTGCGCCCCCATATGGTAACAGCAACTCCCTCCTGCCTTCAGCTCCAGCGCCAGGGACCTTCGAAGCGCCTCCTGCGAAGCTTTTGCCTCCTCATCAGGATTAGGAATAGGGTGTAGGTTTTACAGGGCATACAGGCTTTAAGGATTTAGGATTTGGGGTGTAGGGTTTAATTATGGGGTTTTGGTATTTCACACTGCCGCGGCCGAAGAAGAAAGTAAGGACATGCCAAATGATGGTCCCTGTTCGCCGATGGCGCGAGCCAAGACTGAGACAACAGTGGCATACAGTGGGCGTGCAGAACTCAAGTTCCTGACGCTTGCGAAGTCACATGGGCCTCAAAGACTGTCAAGGAGTCAAACAACAAGCGGAAGTTCGTGAGGAGTCACAGTGTCCTTGAGTCGACCAATGTTGGTTTGTACATAACAGCTCATTCGCCTCATCGGTTGGAGAAGAGGTCAGCAAAATCTGGACACGACATCATACTTTAATGTCTGCGGCTTCAGATGTAAGATGCGCGCGGCAGCTTTGATGCACAAAGCGTACTCTTGCACATCACGTCATGTCCCCTCCAAGCGCTTTCGCATCCGCCCACATTTCAGCAAACTCAGAATCACAGCTCCAGCTGCCCACAACGACTTACTCTCAAAACCAAGGGGTTATATAGGGATGACATACCGATAGTGGAAAAAGACAATGGAGGCTACAATCTATAAGGTTTAACTGCGTGAGGTTTACGGTTTAAATTGGTACATTTGCGAGGAATGTAATTCTCATCATCGCAAGCATCCATCGCCCAGTGGGCAAGCGGCTCACGAAAATCCAGGTAAGGCGTCCTTCGCCACTACCGGAACAAATTGCACAGGAAGGGACGGGTACGAAGTATGGTCTTGAAGCTGGAACACTTAGTAACACTTAGTAACGCATCCTTCCTCGTTACCGGTCTTCAGAAAACCCAAGCTCTGATAGACAGCTCTTCACTTCGGCGTCCTTTTGGGTCAAGGCTGCTGCAGTTCTTAGCTCTGTGGAGAAGAACTCTTCAGCGCGGGCCTGCGCGGAGATTGGTCAGTGGCTATAGAAATATGGGGCTATAGAGGTTCCTATAAGACATATGACACGGCCATGTGGCGGCATCTAGGATTGCATAAGGCGTAGTTTAGAAGACGGAAAAGATGACGATGGCAAAGTTCTTCAGTGGCTGAGCCAAGCGAGATTCTTATCTTCCTGTAACATACAGAATCATTGCCCAAGCCCCTAAATAGAGGCCCTGACATGGACCAAACTGTTTACTGTCCTTCTTAGGAGTACGCCCCAAAACAGGGCCTCTAAGTTTTTCGAAGCCGCCATATTGAGGGCCATAGTCTCCCTCTTAGAAATACCTGAACAGCAAAAACATGTAAAATAATTGACTTTTGGTCTGTTTTTGTTTTTTTAAATGATTTCGCGCTATTATTTGACCTATTTTTGGGGTTCAGGTAGTACCCAAGCGACCTCCAAGTGGGTGGCCCAGCTCAGGAGCTCGTCCTTGCAGGAGCGTGAAGCTTCCTGAGGCGGCATGTTCAAGATGCCAATTTCGGGCTAACTAGGGATGAACAAGGATATGTAGGAACATGATATATAATATAGTAGTTTCCATTTTAAATTTTCCCTTCTCGCTATATAACCCCCATGTCATCCCTTATATATGAGGTCATCTAGGGATAGGTAGGGATTTGTAGGGTTCAGGGAAGCTCCTCATCTGGCACAGGTTTGTCGGGCTGCCCTTCCTAGCATGGACCCTTTACAGCCTTGGCCATGACAGACGATGCTACATACGCACGGTTTCTACTCAGTTTTCGGAGATGCTTCTCCTTAAGTTCTAATATGCTATAGTCCTTGTTCTAGATGCTTGCCAACATGGGTGCCAAGCTTTTCAAACCCTTTTATCCCTGTACACACCTTAGTAATCCACGCTTCCATTTCGTTTCCCATTTTCTTCTCCATGTAAAGCCCCACTAATCGGGAAGCATTAGCATTCCTTGTTTTTGAAATCCAAAAGCCTTATAGATCCTGAGATACCCCGCTTGTGTCCCCTGTCCCCGATATATCCCCAGATACCTCCATAGCCCCTTCAAAGGCACTACTGATTTATGAGGAAGGTTTGGAAGATTGCTGGTAATTTCCAAGAGAGGATACACTGGGGTCTCCTGCGAAGAGGTTCATAGGGATTATGTAGGATGGTTTCCCAGAATTAGGAGGGCTGTTTTGGGGTGCCCCATAATCAGGATTAACCATATGGGGATGTGGAGAGTGTGGTGGTGTGTAGGCTGTAGGTTTGCGGGCATGCGCCCCAGCTTATTTTTAAGCTTACATCCAGCATGCATTCAAGCCTAAGTGTGTATAGTCCCCCTATAGTCCCCCTGTAGTAGATAGAATATGGAATTCCCCAATGTCATGACAAGATCCGCAGTTTTATACCCCATACTCTATCTACATAAGGGGGACTATATGTCCTGAAGATGCGGTGTCCAGAGAAGTCGAGGTTCCTCTCTGGCGGATGCCGCCTCTTCCAGCAACCTTTTCAGAGGTGCGCTGGGAGCTTCTGATGGACCTCACAGCGACAAGGCCCCAGCAGGAGACAAATAGTAATGCCTACTTGGAGACTGTAGTTTTGACCTATTATGAAAATAGTATTTCTAATATTGCCTTAGGGTTATACTATAACAAAATTAGAAACAATTCCTAAGGACAGTACAGGAGAGGGCTGGGGGGGGCCAACCACAGACGCCAAGGTGCCTCCGCGCTGCACTCCACCACCATGAGCGCCCATGATGTGATCGCGCAGTGTCTCGTCCCCGTCCTCGGCCTTGTTTTTTCGACGGGGCACATATTTGAAAGACACTTTCAGGGGTAACCGCAGCAGTCTTAAAAAACACAGCTGTATTTGCCGTGGGCTCACCCTACAACCACCTTAGGCTTTGTAGCTCCTATCTGAAAGCTGCTCACAGACGAGTTGTTACAGAGCCGATCTTAGACTCACGCCACGGGATGTGTTGCACCGCGCAGCGTTGCACCCACTTCCTCCAAGCTTCTGAGTGTTCAAATACGTTTGACGTCTGGTCATCCCTCGCACCAAAACTTCTCGCGCCCCGGATAATCTAATTTTAGGGCTGGGAGGGAAGAAGATGTCGTTGAATACTGGGGGGCAGCGAGTATGTATATATATATATATGAACCGAATCTGATTCGCAACACAATAAAAAAACATAAGCCCAAGGAAATACAAGAGATTCCTAATCCCGTCATTCCTTAGTATAGCAGTATAGCCCCCCCACTTATTTTCCTCAGAACCCTCCCCCACCCCGCCCCCCGTCCAGTTCATTCTGCATTCGGATAGAATGATTGACCTATTTTACATCGGGTCCTCCACTTCAATAATGACCTTTCTGGATATTAGGCCTGCCGCTTCATAGTTTAGAATACGATAAACGGATCAGTTATGCTGTAACATCCATGACGAAACAAAACCTCTACACGTCGAGAGCGCCGGTTTAACAAATATTGTCATGTCTCACCTGCTCGGTAACTCCCATCCAAAGGACCTCACGTGGGTGCTTGTCAAAATTATGATCCCTTTTTGGGTACCTTAAATGAATATTAGGTGCCGCATTATAATAAGGATCCAAAAAGGGACCATAAGTTTGACAAGCACCCATATAACCCCTATACATACCCTACTGTAGTTTCCATTTTCTTTTCCCTTCCCCTACATAATCCCAACATATTATAGTTCTCATTTTATTTTCCATTGTCCCAATATAACCACACATGTACCACCAAGGCGAGGACTCTGTGTTTGCTTCTCGTCGTTTCACGCACCACCCATCAAGAAAGTGCAGTGGGCAAACAAACATGCAGAAGACACACCGCAATTCATAGGTAAATTGGTTTTAGCCACCTGTAGTAGTAGTGTCCAGCTCAGAAAGATGTGTAACCCTTTACCGCAAACTCTCCTGCACCAATTTCGTGCCTGAAGAAAACTAAAGACCTCGAGCCAGACCCAACCCAAACCTTGCACCTGCCTGGTCTGGACAGGTCCAAAAACAAACAAGAAGACGAGAGCCTTATCAGAGATCAAGGAATCCTTAACCCGCAGAGGTCCAGGCGAGGGTGGAGTACGGTTCAGGGTGCGCACCTGGGTGCTCTCAGCACCAGCGCAACCCTCGATGAGACACCTGTGAAAAACCCTCAGCCAAACTCTGAATCCCGAAGCCCTAAGCCCGAAATCCCTAAACCCCTAAACCCCTTATAAAGCCTAAACCCTAAGCCCTGAAACCCTAAATCTCTAAAGCCTAAATCCTTAACCCTTATGATTACAATCCTACTTCACGTGCAGTCCTGGACCGTTGCCTTGTGACTTGGCGCTGCGATTGCCTCCCTCAGAAGAATGGGGGTTGTTGCAATTTAGGGCTTAGGGTTTAACGCGTTTAGGGTTTCTAGGGGTTACATGGGGTGTGTTGCTTAGGGATAATGAGCGGCCAACTAATGATATTGTTCACGAAAGTTATGCTTGCAAATATATCGCTAATCATAACTTCGAAGCATGAAATAAGCCTGTGTTGGAACCATTTTATATGTAATACATCATTACTTTGCAGCTTACCAGAACTGTACAAAAAGAGAAGCAGTGTAGCATAGCAATAGCGATATAACGTCTTCGTGGTAGGGTAGTGGTAGTAGTCGTCGTCGTCGTCGTCGTAGCCCTAGGAGTATCAGTAGGAGTATAGGAGCAAGAATAGGAATAGGAGGAGGGATAGGAGGGCCCCAAAACATCCCCCTGACATCCCCCATGCAATAGCCCTAGAAAGGACCCTGTTCATCCGTGGCGTCCGTAATTAGGATCTAGACTGTAACCTCTTCATCAGCAATTTCTGCTTGTATTTGCTGAGTCTTGAAGAGTAAACTGCAGGCATCGGCCTCTTGGAAGAGAAAGACTGTGAGCGCGATGCCTCCTTGCGGCGTTATCAGATCGGATCCGACCGGGCTACCTAAAACCAAAAAAAACGTACTGAGCGGCAGCAAAGCTGAACGTTCAAAGCTGCCCTGGGCCGGGGTGTCAAGCACATGCACAGCGAGAGACTGAGTCCTTGCGCAGCTTGGGCGCGGCATGGCGTTTCTGTTCCTTGAGGCTTTGGATTCAGCCACTGTGCTGAACAAATAGCGTGTCCATGCCTGTTCATGCCATATGCTCTCATCACACGCAACTGGCTCTTTACCCATGGACATGAAGCACGCTCCTGCTGCACGCTGTCTTTTGGAAAGGCCATGTACGACGCTCAAACTCCGATTAAACTCCTAAGGGAAGCCCCTTCAGGGCTTCAAGTAGCTAGTACTCTGCCAAGGCACCGCCAATTCCTGCTTGTACCTGTCTGCTTCCTGCACCTTTGCTCAGTGACAGACTAAAGGCTCAAAAGCAACCCAACACCAAAAGCAAGTCCTATAACTGTAGCGTCCAGAACACGAAGATGCAACACAACGGCCCAGAGCATGCTCGTCATGCTCAGACAAGGGCCTCTCATCCCCTCGATCTCATCTCAGAACCCCGCTCACAAGGGGAATGGTATGCCCCAGCAGGATTGCCAAACCCAGCGCCCCTTGATGACTCGTGTAGCTTGGATCACGCAACTCTCCATGTAAGCTGTGGCTGCAAACCCTCAGGGCGCGCTACTATCTAGCCCCCATGGATTCTTCAAGTTGTTGACTGCAGTTCCACACTTAACCGGAAAGGTCCTAGGCCATCCCAGCCGAATCCCAGCCTTCGCTGCCAACTCTGCTGACATTCGCTGAAGCTCGCGGTTCTTTGCCAGGATCGTAGCTGTTGCCATGGTGTCCAAGCTTTCGCCTGACCTGCCAAGAACCCTGGCTTTCAGCAAGGAACTCAAGATGCAGAAGTGGGGTGCAGTGACGGTCTCCCACCTACGCGTATCCAACCCCTGCCCTGTTGAGAACCTGATACATATCCAGGCCTCAAGCCCAATGGCGACTGCGAAGACATTCTGGCTCAATGCGATGCCAGCAAAATACTACTACGCCCAACATGCGCCACGCGACGCCACACTCACCATGCGTGAGTTCAGAGCGCTACACCGCTCACCCAGGACCTACACACTGCTTCGACATGTCCAGCCTCTCTGAGGCTCTACTAGGCGAACACACCTGCAGGGGGTGCCAGGTCAGAGGTTGCCAACCACTGCTTGCATCATGATCAGGAGATTCAAGAGTCTCAGGACCCAGATGGTCATCCTGGTTCTGTAGTAAAATTAGCTGGCAATAGAGCAAATGCAGTGGCGGCCCCGCTTCTGTTGACACAATACCTGCTGCAGAGCTAGACTCTGAAGCCTCCACACCACAGCGTGTAAAAGCACCCCTTGAAGAGAAGTCCCTGCTAGTGGATCCAAATTATGGGGTTGGCGTTCGTTTGATGAACTTTTTGGCTGTCCTGCGCTGGTGCCGGCGCCGTCGAGCTCACCGAAGGCGTGCAGCAAGAGAAATCCACCACACTGACCTGCAGCGTGACCAGGGGGCAGTCCCCTCGCTGGTCTCTGCTTCAATGAAGCCGCGTCCGTAGATGCTAGCTAAAGATCTAAAGTAAGACCTTCCAAAAAGTGGTCCTAATGTCATGGCAATTGCTGCACTTTGTAATCTAGCCGGCGCACAGCCTGTGGAGCCCTGGCTTTCAACTGCTGATGCTGCCTGTGCCCAGCCTGCCTTTCTGAGTCCTGTGATCCTCTTCGCAACATGCTTTTCTACGCTGCGTGTCCTCAAGACGGAAGCCCCATGACCTAGATAGAACTTGGCAACAGCAGAGAGAGCAAAATGAACCCTGAGCAAGAAAGTACAGAATAGGCGGTAACATACGCAGCGCGGCAGTTTACACCCGAAGACCGCATGCAGCACGAAGATTCGCCCCGGCATCAAGCTCCACAACAAAACAACAGTGCGTGAGCCATCGTCTAGACGTCTTGCATCCTTCCTAAAATCTCATATAATCGTCCCCGATATAATCCCGTATACAACCCCCTCTAAGGAGTTTAGACTATAGCTCACATGACAACATAACCGCATCGCACTGGCCTCATCGCTCGTGGCCCGGCGCCTGATGAGGCTCAAGCACATGATTGTCTTAATAGTACCAATCGTAATCGCAATAGAAGTAATAATGGTAACAGTAATTATAGAAAGTAATAACGGTAACGGTAGTCATAATAGTAGTAATGGTAACAGTAGTAAAATGGGAATTATTATGGTAACAATAAGAAAAAAAGGGAGGGACCACCAGATTTGGTTCGGGATTCACCCGAAGCTTTTGAAGCAACTCAAGCTAGTAGCTTCGGAGCTTCCCCTAAAAATGAAGCACATGGCTTCGCCCGGAGCTCTGAAGCAAGTGAAACTAATTGCCTTGGAGCTTCGCGCTTCGCCCCCTAAAAATGTAAAAAAGCGGCTTCGCCCGGAGCTCTGGAGCAAGTGAAGGTAACGGTAGTTACAATAATAATAATGGTAGTATGTTTCCCATTGACCTAATTGCTCCTCTGAGAATGACTGTTACGCTTTTGCTTATGACGACCTGCAATACTGAGTGCTAGCGAGCCCTAAACCCTAAACCCTAAACCCTAGACCCTAATCCCAAAACCCTAAACCAGCTGAGTGGTTCAGGTTGTTGGAGAGCTCTTTGGTTCAGCCCAAAGCCTTCTTTCTCAAGCCCTCAAGGTTCCTTCGCACGTCAGCCGAGGCTTTGGTTTTCATGGTGGGAAACAGAATGGCATACCTAAGGGTGATGTAACTTAATATAGGGGATATATAGGGTTTATATAGGGATTGAAGCGTATATATTGGGGTTATATTATATTGGGATAATGGAAAAGAAAATGGAAACTGTAAGGATTATATAGGGATTATATAGGGGTTCTATAAGTGTGTATATTCTATTCGCGGAGCAGAAAATGAAAATTAAACCGGGCCACGTTGGTGCTGTCTTCTGGGCCAGTGCAATCTGAAGTTATGCTCGAGTGTTGCATGCCATTTCAATATGAATTCTCATTGTCCTTGTGATACTGGGGTCGGGTCAGAAAATGGCTGCATTGCTCAAACCATGTACGAGGAACCTAGCAAATCCGGCCGGCCCCCCTTTCCGCCGCCTCTTTTGCAGCAGCTGTTCCTTGGCATGGCGCAGTTGCAGCAGTCTCACTTCCCCAAGGCGATCCATCTGCCTGAGCTCAGGGGGTTTGGTATTGGGATAATGAAAAATCAAATGGAAACTACTACAATATATAGGGGTTATATTAGGGATTATATAGGGGATATATTGGGATAATGGAAAAGAAAATGGAAACCATAAGGACTATATAGGGATTATATAGGGGTTCTATAAGTGTTTTGTAAGGGTCAGGGTCCTGCTTCGGGGCTTTCCCTTCTCGGCCAGCATGCCTTCCACATGTCTGGTACAGGACACGCAGGGGTCAGGGCTCCATTACAGGCTTTAAGCATTAGGCCTTCCAACCCTGCACCCTAACCCCTAAAGCCTAAATCCAAATCAGAGGAAGATCAAAGTAATGCTGATTGAGATGGCCATAAGGGTCCGAAATGGGTAAGCTGGGAAAGGTCTAAAATGGTCACAGCGCCATTTCAGACCCCTGTTCTTCAACTTTTGACCCTCAAGAGCCACTGTTTCAGACCTAGCGCAAACTGAGAGTAGAGAGAAAAAAGGGCGAGGGGATTAGTCTTTCGGGTCGCCAGCCTCCTGCGGGCATTTGCGGGCTTGGACTTCATGGGAAGTAGACAGTTGAAGAGTCGCACCTCAACTGGACAGGGAACGCCACAATCAAGACTGGTTGCTTGTTGTACGTCTCCAACTCATGGATTCGTTCCAGCAAGGAGCTGTCCCCAGACGCTGAAAGCCTGAGCTTTCTGCCACTCAGTTTGCAACAGCGGCAGAACAAGATCCTATAGGCGTTTGCAGTTGTGACACGTCCGGCTACTTTCATTCTTCTGACACCCCAATCCTGATACTGGATCACTGCAGGCCGCATTCCATCACTCACGCTGCTGAACGAAAGCGCCATGGTGGCCATTTGTGGCTGATCATAGCACGAGCTTTGAGACTCTCGATTCTGATTTGATCCTGCTATGTATGAGAACTCATGCCGCGCACTTTGCCTGCAACGGCCTGGTCATTCTCCTTCAAAACGGGATGCCTTCTAGTTACCTGTCAATGGAGAAGCACACGGAACACTGAAAATGAAATGCCCACCTTAGAATGAGAGCTGGCTAAATAGTGTGGAACTCCTCTGCACATGAACCTCCACATGCCATCTGCTCCTGCCCTACTTGGTGGAGGGATGTTGTGGCTGCGGATGCATCACCAAACCTTGACCTTGATGGGCACTTCCAAGTGAGCTATAGTCTAAACTCCTAGCCTCCCCACAACACTCCCTATATAATCCCGTATATAACCTGTTGCAGGAGTTTAGACCACAGCTCATGTGAAATTGGCTTAGGTCAGTCCTCTGGGCACATGGGATTGGATCCCTGATATCTGCAAGTATACTGGGAGCTGAAACTCCGCATGCCAGGAAAACAAAAAGAAACACATCAACAGCATCATCATTTGGCGTTGCCAAAGTAAATCCCTATGCAAACCCAGTTTCGCTTGTGTATTCTACTCTCAACTATTGACATAACATCCCCAACCCTTAACTCTAAATCCCAGACTCACTTTCTCCACAGCCGTGGCTAGGAAGAACTCGGAAGCGGCGTTGCAGTGGTCCGAAAGGTTGGATAATTAACACTTTCACAGCCGGGGCATTCTACCCCAAAGAGGAGACATAGGGGTTTCTCAAATTGGGTTTTTTTTGGGGACCTTAGGCCCTAGGTTGCATGGGGATTCTAAAGTGATGACGGGAGTCTCCCTCAAAATTGTATGACAGGGTACTTTGAGAAACTCCCACATTGAACGGTGATGATGGTTCTTCTTTCAGCTGCAGCAAGCCCCGGCTCATTTTTGCCAGTTGAAGCTTATCTTGCACCCTTGCGGACCGCTTTGCAGACCTTAAACCCCTAAACACTATACCCTAATTCCTAAACCCTATATTCGGGTCTTCTCATTTTCCTTGGGGGGCTGCAACTGTTTGACTTTTACTTGCTGTCAGCTGAGCCAGCGTGACGGCCTGCACGAACTGGCAGCTCTCCAAGTGCCTGACGATTTGGGCGATCACCTCTGCTACCATTGTGAGCAAGAGGGATAAATCATGGTAACTAGGGTTCCGACATTTTCGTAATATACCGCTGCTAGCGGCTAGGCACCTAACTGACAAGTGCTGACCTTTTGCCTTTCCGACAGGGGATACACCTTGCACCCGTTTCTATTTTGCAAACTGTCCTAGCTTTGGCGATCTGCGGAGAGATCGTATCTCAGGATCTGAAGGGGAAAGAAGACGAGGACTGAGACCGACCATGTTAAGAGCAGCGATCTGGAACACCCAAGTACGAGCAGTGTAGTGACCTCAGGATATCCTCTATCAGCACCAAACGAATGATGACAGAACCCTAAATCCGAAACCTTACACCCCTAAACGCTCAACCCCTACACCCTGAACCCATGACAGAAACGTCGGGCCCTGCCTGGTGGTTTCTTAACAGGTCTCTTGCTGCGGATTCGCAACAGGCTCCTGGAGGACTCCCAGCCCACTAGGCTACCACCTCTGTACCCCACTTTCTAAAAGCTAGGGAGTTCCTACAATACTAGGGCTAGGATGTTCCTACAATATCAGGGATTATTTAGGGATAATGGAAAAGAGAATGGAAGCTACTATAATATAATAAGAACTAGATAAGGATAATGAAAAAGAACATGGAAACTATATGTGGCTTTCCAAAAACTATGAAGCTCCTATAATACTACGGACTATATAGGGGTCATGGAAAAGAAAATGGAAACTACCACATGGGGGTTTCCAAAAACTAGAGAGTTTCTATAGCAATAGGGACTATACAGGGATGGTGGAAAAGCAAATGGCAACTACTATATTGTGATGGGGACCACATAGGGATAATGGAAACTACCACATGGGTGCTTCCAAAAACTAGGGGGTTCCTAGAATAAGGACTACAGTATCCTGGGGTCTATGTTAGGGCCGGCTATTTATGGAAATTATGGCGTATGGTTAATGGAATGCTCGTACCGCGGCAATAGGGTGTGGTTCATATTCGCTTCCACCTGGAACTCTCCTTCATGAGTTTCTGCTTAAATAGAAAGTTAAAATAATGACAACTTGTACGAAACGTCGCGATATACTGAGTCTCACGAGGGAAGAAGGGGAGTGCGAGAAATGACAGATTCCACGGCCTGTCTCCGATACCATTTCAAGATAGCCCCTACATCTAATGTCGCCAAGCTTTTTTTGGGCTCCTAAGCCATCTGGGATAAGAGGGCGAGTTTCCCCTTGAAAGGGGAGGGAAGACTGGCACACGGAGCTCCTCCTTCGTCTTCAGGGGCTTTCTGGTTGTGTACGGCCTTGCACCAGACAGGCCACAGGATTTCAGGGGGAATTCTCTTGGCAGAGACCAGAATTCCGTACATGATAAGCCTTTCTCGCAGATAGGGTCCTCCCTGTACGTCGCCTACATAATCTGGCTCTTCACTATGAGGATCCCATAACATCTCCTAGCAATGCCAGCAAAACAGCTGCTTTGCTGTCAAGATGCTTCCGCTCGGCTCCCTTCGGGGTCCACCTGGCCTGGATCACGCTTCAATAGGCTTGGTCATAATTACTCCTCATAATAACAGAAGTGTATGCAGAAAGGAAACAGCACATGGAAAGGAGTGTAGACCTTGATACATGCATGCTGGTTGCCGAATCATCACAACATTAGAATCCTGATCACTGAAGGCCAGGGGAGTCTATCAATCAGCGGTCTGCATTTCCCCGCAGTAAACGCCCTAACCCCCACATACCCTATACCCTGACTAACCAGAACCTTCAGTTCTAACTCATACCTCCTAAATCCTTTTGCAACAGGCACATCCTAAATTTAAATCCCAAATCCTGAACCCTCAACCCTGAATCCTAAACCCTTTTGGCAGTGGGTTTTGAGCTGGGACCTGAATCCCAAACCCTCAACTCTAAATCCCGAACCCTAAATCCTAAACCCAAATAGACTGTGTAGCTTCAGCTCTCCCTGTCAGGCGGCCTTCTCCTTGCTGGGCACAGCCTACAGGTCCCCAGGATGTCAAGGAAACGGCTTGCAACAACGATCCCCTCTCGTTAACTAATATAGTCTTATCCTTACTGCTATTGTTATTATAGGTATTTGTAGTATTACGACTACTATTAGTATTATTACTATTATTAATAGTTACCCCCCAAGGTCATACCACTCCATATATGCTGGGTGTGGAATATGTGTTGTTATTAGGTGGTTAGGGAGGTCATTCTCAGGGTAGGGATGACCCCTGACGAGCCTCTTCATGGTAACGGTAACAATACCACTGCCACACATGTGCTGTAGTCTAAACTCCTGGTATCCCCCTTAATATCCCCTAAAGTAGTCCCCTATATAATCCCCTATATAACCCCCCTTTAAGGAGTTTAGACTATGGCTCACATGATGACAAGCAAAATAGCAAGGTAGGAGCAACCCAACACTGACAGCTGGTGAGAAAGCTGGACTTCGCATGCCGTGCAGCTCTTCCAAGCAAGTCTGTTGGAGGTTCATGGGACTACAGTCCCCCTTGAGTAGATAGAATATATCTTCGGGTATGTTATAAACTACTATTTAGGGTTTAGGGTTTAGGGCTTATAGTCCCCTTTAAGTAGATAGAATATGGCTTTGGGTATAATATACTAAGATCCACATACACCCCCTCTTCTATCTACTTAAGGGGGACTACAAGTAACTGATTGTAAGCAGGCTTTTAAGCCTGAGTATCATCCCACTAGCTGGATTCATGTAGGCTATCCCAATTTCAAGCAAGACATGGTGGTTTCCCAAAATTAGGGGAACTTTTCTGGGGGTCCCTATAATTAGAACTACAGTATATGGGGTATTACAATAGAGTCCCTTATTTAGGGAAAGTATCAAATAGTCACTAGGTCTCATGAACCTCCAAGGAAGCGCTCCATACCTTTTCCGTCCCAGGGTGATCACGCATGATCTTGTTGCATGGCATTGCTGTTATTATACCTAGGCGCCTGAATATCATTACAGTAGCGCTTTATGGCCACTGGTGCTCACGTCAAAATTCAAAAGGCCAGGCCCTCTTCAGTGTGTCTCACTTACCAGATGCCAGGGAAGATGTAGTACGGCACTGCCTTCCTGCGTTTGCGTTGAAGGCATGACTGTCTGACTTCGCAAGCCAAGCAGGCCAACCACCTCTACTTAACCAAACTCCACAAATGGGAAACTCCGAGAAAGTTCATTCGAACGCAAGTCGGATGATTGCAGGGAGCCGCCCACCCTAACTGTTGCCGGCCCTAGGGTCCTGTAGCGCTCCCAGTCGGCACCGTACTTCTTGGAGCAGCGCACCTCGTCGCGCCAGCAACGGTGGCAGTCCATGAGCCAGAAGTAGATGCCTTAAGACTTCAGAAGCATGACATCGGAAAAGAATGAAGAGTTACATGTTTGGGGGTTAGGTAATGATTAAGTTGTTAGGTATATGAGAAATGCACTTGGACATTGCACAGGGATCTTGCAGCCTATTGGGACCCAGGAGCCTGTGTACACGTAAAGTCCAGCTTCGTGGCATTCTCACGAGTTGGCTACTGCTGTACCAGTTCACAACAACAAGGAATCTGCGGCCAGCAGGAAGCTGCGCAGCATTGACCGCTTCAAATTTGTGAAGTGCAGGGGCCACAGCTGGTTAAGCTGCAACAGCCCCCAAGATCGAAGATAGGTGACCGACTTTCCCATCTTTCTGGGGAGAAGAAGGTTCCGACGTTGACGAGATGAAGTGGAAAGCTCAGTCAGACATCCCCAATCACAGCAAGCTTAACTTCAGACCCCCAGCACGTATGCAAGGCAGCAATCCAACGACCTACCCTCCTACTGAGCTACTGGTTACCTCCACCCATTGCAACCACATCTCTGAGCTTAATGCACCGCCAAGCAGCAATACGAGATTGGCAGCCAAATGAAAGGCGACGCTGGGTCATAGCAAGCAATGGCCCACCTGAGCTCCAAAATTCGCTTTGCCAGAAAGAATGTGAGCACCTTGTCTCTCTCTTTTTCTCTCTTTTTTCCTTTTTGTGTTTCTTTTCTCTCTCTCTCTTTCCCTCTCTCTCACGCACACGCTTAGATGGAGCCGGGTCACCCAATGCACATGGTAAGGTCACCGATGTAGTTGAAGTGACGTGCTAGTCCCCAGTAACCTGAGGTAAGCAGAAGTGAGCCCTCCTTGGTCTTGATGAACTCAGGCTTCTTGTCACCGAAGAAAATCCGGGTGCTCAATGGGGACCGGTACTTGTCTGCGGAGCCTGACAGTATCACTGATTTCAAGTGAAAGGAATGGTATGTTTTGAGCAGAGGCGCATTCTTAAGTGGTCGCACCTACAACATGATGCCGAATAGTAGTAAGAAAAATCGTGTTTACAGAAAACAGCCTTGTGATTGTTGTAATAGTAACAGACATAGTAATCGTAATGGCAATAGTAGTAATAGTAACAGACACAGTAGTAGTAATGGCATAGTGATGTCCTACTCTGCCTACAGAGCCAACCATCCCAAAGCTTGGCCTCCGTTGTTCATGTGATCACGGAACAAATGCTTCTCAATGTTGGTCACGCGGAAAAGGACCATGCCGAAAAGGTACATCAGGACGCCAATGATGGCAAACACCTGGGTTGCTGCTACGGAACCGAAATTAAGTTATCATACTATGGGTAAAATATGAGCTTTCCTTTTTATAGTGACTTAAACTCAAGTTCCTTGACAGCAGCCCAGAAACGTAATTCTTGGTAATGTAGCCGTTCGTTTGGCTTCCCTGCTGCGCCAAAAAGCCCATGAAAGTGATGGGATAGAAGCGGCTAAGGAAGCCCCAATCGCCTCAGCACCATGGAGGCGGATGTCAAAACCGTCATTTTTTCAGTTGCTCAGCCCTTTTTAGTCAACTTCCAGAATCTGTTGGCACGGCTTCAATGCTTCTCGTGGAAGTTCCAAAAACATACAGCTTGATATCCACAACTGAATAAGTTGTTGGGTCACCCTGCCATTGGAAACAAGCAGACGCGCTGACTTAACTTTGCATTAAATTTCGCATTTGTCACCCAAGACTCCAAGACCATTCAAACAGGAGGAGGTGATCATCTCAGCCCTCTTCAGCCTGTGACAACAGAACATTAGCCGGGCTTTTTCTCAACTTCCTTATGAGCTATAGTCTAAACTCCTAGTATCCCCCTTAATAGCCCCTACAAGACTCCCCTATATAATCGCCTACATAACCCCGCTTTAAGGAGTACACGATGAATGTCCCTACTACGGTGCGAAGGAGTGACCATACGTCAGCATGAACCCGAAGAGGTCATGGCGAATATCTGTCGTGGTCAGGTAAGCAGGCTCCACGAGGTTGTAGTCAAAGATATAATACCTCAGTTTCTTGTTTAAATCACACAAATGCAGGCGCCCGTGAATCTACGAGCCCCTATACAGCCTCGGTTTCAATTTCATGTTCCATGCTCTTTTATTTTTGATTCTTCACTATCCGGGTAATAACCTCAAGCCCCTTTACGATCCCTAAGTACAACCCTGTACAGACCCTAAAATCAGGCTTCTAAACCCTAGTCACAAGCAGGAATTCCTGATAACTTTCTTATTCTTACTATTATTACGTTTATCCTTATTACTTACAGCCACTAACACTATCAATAGGTTGCAGCTTGGAACTGTGTAATACTAGTTGGTAATCATAGTCGTAACAGTGGTAACACTCGTAGTAACATTATGAAGAATAGAAATGATGGCAATGGCAATGACAATAATAATAACATTAACAATAGTTAAAGCAGCAAGATGGTACTAATAGTAGTAATAGCAACAAATTTCTACAAATTCACAGCCAAATACTTAGCAGCGGTAAGAGGTAGCCGACCGCTGAACCTGTCTCGACTAAAAGTAAAAGCTGAGCTTTACTTCTGGAATTACTGTGCACATCAGGAACTCCTCCAGCAGTAATAAAACAGTAGTAGCTGTAACAATAATAGTAAAAAGCGCGATGCTTGTAATTTGAATAGCAATAGTAAGAGTAGTGAAAGTAGTGATTGCACGAATAATAGCAATTAGTAACACTGATCGGGACTTCTTCCATCGAGGCACCAGTGAGCAAGCGTGATGAAGACAGCCGCAAGGCCGATGTTGTCCATAGAGCCTGTACAAGCCAGGGCTGTGCTAGGACTACAAAGAAGTAACATGCTTATCTGCTATGAACCATCGGAAACTTGCAATACACTACCATGCACACAAACAACTGTGCCAACAATTGTAGCACCGTTTTTATTAGTTCGACAGGTCCTTGCTTGGCACTTCTCTCTTCTTGGTTTTTCCGATCATGTTCTCCCTCCTGCTTCCTCTGCTCTCCTGGCTTGTTACTCGTCGAGCGCGTCAGTCTTACTGTCAGCAAGGCCGTCGCAGTACTGCTCTACCTGCTGCTAGCGTGGCTACCGTGCTCAATGTTTTAGCATCATTTGCCCCCAAAACCAAACGTGTGAATTCTGATCCAATCCTCGCACCCTCCCTCCGTCGTCCCACACACTACCTCGCTCAAACTCACAGTGAAGCAACAAACGAGGCGCTGGAAAGAAGGGGCCTATCTGGGATTCCATCTTCTTTGGGGGAACGTAAGCCTCTTTGTTTGAGCTGAGGCCCGCGCGACAGCGATGAGCTCAGCCAGCATACGACCATCTCAAAAGCTGCTTAAACCTAAGCCCCTAAGCTGGGTTGCTGTTAAGGAACTTAATTTAAGTTATTGTATTGGTTAATTACCATGTATACCCATGATGGCAACTTAATTTACAGCTTCTTAACAGCAACCCAGCAAAGCCTATGCCCCTTCCTTGGCCGGGCCTGTGGCATCGCAGAAAGAATCTGCGGTCTTGTTGCTGAAAATGGCCTTGATGGTATCAGACTTGGCCTGAGCAGGAGGACAAGGTTTACGTGAATAAGAAACACAAGGGATGATGTAGACCCCTGATTAAGAACCCCCCTCCTTTTAAGGGCCTTAATATTAGGATCCCTATTATAATCCCTATTGAGGGGAGGGTCTTTATTGATCAGGGGTCTGGATTAATGGTAAGTATGGTGGGCTCCCTGCATGAGAATTTTTTACACCACCATTAGTGCCAAACAAACCCAGTGAAGCAGGATGACATCCATGTATGTAGTCTGATGGAGTCATTGGGAGCGGTCCGTACGCTGTCCCTCTAGCTTGCCGTGTGCAAACTGTGTCGCTGTTAAGGAAAAGAAGTTAAGTTACCATACTGGGTATAGTTAGTAGTTAATAGGGTTTCCCCAATACAGTAACTTGAAGTAAGTGCTTAACAGCAACCCAGCAAAGCATCTAGGCGGAGGAATCTTGCAAGGCTGCCTCCAACCTTCAAACTTTGCAAGAGCTGGCCACGAGCTAATAAGAGAATGCGGTACGCCCGACCCCTATGATCTAAGAACCCTATCCCTATCACATATGACTCGCATAGGGTCCTAACTACAGGAGTTGGAGTTGCCAAAGCCCTCCTCTTAACGTCTGAAGATACCTATATGTATAACCCCTATTCCTATATAGTAGTTTCCATTGTTTCTTCGTTATCACAAAATAACCCCAATATAACCCTAATAGCACTCAGGACTCAGCCTGGCCTCGTGGTCTCCAAAGAAGAGAGAGTCACTGGCACCGTATGCTGTTGGCAGCCTGCAGTTGTAGTACATGCTGGCCTTGGTTCAGTCTCAATGAGAAAGGCTCGGGTAAAAAATGTGACCTGCAAGGTTCAAAAGTTTGAGCCTACTTATATCGGGAATTTGCAAGAACAATGCTACTGCTAGTTGGTTTTCCTCAGTTCTTCATCTGATATAAGCCGTGCCAACCAAGGTGTAGCTTAGAACACACATGTGAGCCATAGTCTAAACTCCTAGTATCTCCCTTAACCCCCCTTATAATACCCCTCTATATAATGCCACATATAACCCCCCCGTGAGAAGTTTGAACTATGGCTCATGTAATCTGCATTCGTGCCAGGCAGCCAAGTAAGAGATGTTCAAGATCACCCATCCGGTCAGACCGGGGCGGGCATTCCAGAATCGCTTCAAGTCGAACGGAACCTTGAGGATTCCGTGGAACAAGCGCGGGTTGCGCACTACGCCCATGAAGAAATCGTTGAAGAAATCCTGAACAGATTTGCTTACATTACTCTTGAAATTGTCATTATTACATATTACCATGAATTATGAATTAGCAACTATTGCCATTATTTTGGTTGTTGTTATTTGTTGTTCCTTACTAGGTATTAGTCTTAGGAGCAAAGGCCGTTGGAGGACCCAAAAGCCACCACCCTCAGCAAACCTGCAGCATGTGTCCTTGCACTGGAAAACGCCGTGGTCTTCTTCAAACTCCTCAGTTCTCTATAAGCATTGCGGTGGGGCTTTGCAACGCCGTAGTAGCAGGTAGCAGCATGCCGTAATTACATGGATGTCTCACTGGCACCCTTGTCACTACCACTTCTATGACTTCTTGTGCAACTAACTACTACTAGAATAAACACCACCGCCACAACAGCAACAGCAGAACATCAATAGCTACTACACCTTTCTTGCTGGGTCAACAACCGCTACAGTACGAGCTAGTTACCATAGTTTCTACAGGTGCAGTCAAAGTTCTGGGTCATCCACATGGCGTCGCCAGAGCATCCCGTAGTCGATGTACAGCCAAAGGGCCATGACATAGCTGGTAATGACAGCTTCTGTCAGCAGGGCGCCCATGTTTGCGAAAACGTAATAAGGCGGTAGGATCTCATACTTGCACAGCAGGAACAGCCCTACGTGGCTCAGAAAGAAGCACAGGAGGCCGTTCATTGGGTAGATCAACTTCCTTCCGTTCTTGAGCATGACCCCCTCCTTCAGCTTGCCTGGAAGGATGATCTCTCCAAGAGCTTGGCAGCAAACCCAGGACAAGGAGACGACTGTCGGACCCCAGCATGGGCGGATCGAAAGGCCGTCCGGAAGGGCGTAGACAAGATCGTGCCAAAAGCTAGGGCTGGGGATCACGAGCCTTCCGGCATGCATCACCATGATCCCATAGAAGTAGTAGATGGCCGCCGGAATGAAGAATGTCCAGAAGCCCGTGCCAATGTTCCCGTAAAACTCGCCAACGGGCCGCGTCAGCTTGCGGACTACTTTGCCCGGAGCTGGCGATGAGGACTCCGTCTGAACTGTTTTGCCCGGAGCGGGTTTCGGCGCCGGGCTGTCTGTTCGCTTAGTCGCCGGCATAGCGACTCTGTTTCTGAAACTTCACGGCACTCCTAGAGAAAATTGCTGCGGAACGTCATTGACACTCAGGCAGCTCATCCTAGTGATGTCGTATCAAAATCGGGCACAAGCATAATATGAGTTTGGTAACTTCCAGCATCACGAACGTCCTTTGTCTGACCCGTGCGCCTGCTTCTTGACCAGCGCGAAGAGCGTACGAGCGTAGAACTTTCGCATGGATGGGCACGCGCCCTGCCAGAAACAAGCTCCGAACAATCGATAAACCACCAAAACAATCTAACAGGAAGACATTGGATGACATGCACCTCGCAAAGGGTGAAGGACACTTCAGCGTCAAACACAGGCCAAAGGCCGCCTAGGCAAGGAATCCCAAACTCCTCACGTCCATGCCTCCGGCAGCTTCTTGTTGTAATTCATCCTGACTTCCACTTTGAATCTTTCAGTTCTCACTTCAGGGATGTAGTTCAGAGCTCAGTGGCTAGTCCATTTGCAAGCGAGCAGCTGCATCTGCCTGATTTTCGCCACATCGATGTTAAGCTCACGGCAATCTTCCTTGGCAGGTCTGCTTCTTGTTTTGCTCTCTCGTGGTGGGGCACCCGCTGCCTGTGAGCCGGTTGTCTGCAAGAGTTCACTTGGCTAGGCTTCCGAGTGTAGGAACTATGGAGAAACGGAAGTGCTAAGTTTTGAATGAAAGGGGGGACCACAGTTCTGGCCATGTTATAATAATTTCAGAACATGGGCAGCTGCACGAAGTGCTTCGAAGGCTCCTCGGTGGAGATGAGCTTGGCCATCGAGTTGCGGTCTTCGATGCTGTCTGGGTTCATCACAATCAGGGTGCCTAGAAACGGTGAGTTCAAAAAATCAGGGGTTTCTTGAAGGAATTCATATGATAAGGGGTGATGTGGTAGATTCGGGGACCCCAATCTAGACACCCAAATGCATTAGAAGGCCCCCCAAAAAAAGTACCCCTAAATTCGGGAAATCCTCGACCCTAGACTCTAAACCCCCCGATATGAGCTTTGGCCTGAACTCCTAGTATTCCCCTTAATACCCCCTATGATACTCCCCTATACAGTCCCCTACATATCCTCCCTTTAAGGAGTTTAGACTATGGCTCATGTTTTGGGGGGAGATACGAGGGACCCAGACTTTGGAAGCCCCCACATGGAGATGTCTCCAAACAGGATCCCTTCTTGCACGGATCAATATCTGAAGGAACTCTGGAACGGAGAGCCCTTACTGTCCAAACTCAAAATCCCGCCTGAAAACAGTCCTAGTATACCACCATGATTCATAAGGTCATGCAGGGTTTTGGTATCAGCCGCCATTGGTTCGGTTTCCATTCTTTGCTTTGCTAACGCAAGTCGAGGATAGCTTGCTGCTTTACATGGCAGCATCCAATCAAAAATCCTCCTCCTAGAAGTTGCAATGATCAATGGGTTAGGAGGACCCTCCACCCTGTAATAGTGGTATAACAGGAATATAAGAGGACCCCAATATAATCCTTATTATCCCTTATAGTCACTATTACTGGGGGGTCCACCTAATCAATGAACTGCATTTCTTACAAGGGCACTGCCATCGGCCAGTTTCTCCGTGACGATGGTGTTCTTGCCCTCTGTCTCCAGCACGACGTAGTAGTGACAGTAGTCTGACCTCCCCGGCTGGCTGTTGCAGTCTCTAAAATTCCGCTAAATATGACATCTACCGAATAATAAACCACATTAAACCACCATTTGGGGCGAAGTCAGATAAGTTCCTTGTAATTTGCCCAGCAACGTGGGATGGAAAGAATTGAGTTGATAAAAGCTGCCACCCGATCCTTTTCGCTATTCGTACCAAGTCATGGCACTTTCAACCCCAAGTTGGCAGATGCTAGACCCCTGACTAATAAACATAATAAACCCCTCCCCTTAGTAGGAAATCTAATAAGGATTCTAATGTTAAGACCCTGAAAAGGAGGGGGTTTATTAATCATGGTCTACATTACTCTATTACTTACTTTTTTTTGGCCCAGCGCATGTCCTTCCAAACCGGCTTCTCCAACCACCTTTGGCCTGGAGGCCTTTAGGTGCGAAGCTCTGCAGTTACACTTCCTTTTGGAATCTTGGCATGTGATGAGCTTCATGGAATGCGAGTTTTGGAATTTTGCGCAGGAGGCCTGTGGGCAACCTGCTCTGGAAATTTGGCATTCAGGTTGGGCGAGCCAAACTTTCTCTAGTCTACCAGACACCTTGCGACACTGCAACCTTAGCACATCTCTAGTTCCCTGAACTCTCGGAAAGCTGATGGATAACCCTTCTACTTTTGGGTAACCCTTCTACTTTTGAAACCATCAAGAAGAAGCCATGTACACTCCCTGTCGTACATTACTCAACGTAATCCACCGGTCAAACATAAGGGCTTGCGGAAGTTTACCCCACACTCGTATTCTTGTTTGTGAGCTACAGGGGTGGGATCTCACTAAATCACTCCCGCATGCCCAATCCTATCCCCAATGAGGTGCCCCCCGAATCTCCCAGAAACAGATATTTTCCCAGGTAAGCTAAAGGTGCTGCACTATATTGTGGGAATGACTACTGTTGATTGGGGGGCCTTTGAAATGGTTTGGGAGCGGGTATCGGTATGCGTTGGTACGGTAGCTCTAAGTCAGTACCTTATAGCATAGTACTATTTTCAGGCAACATTCCATTCGACCCCTGAGGCCTCTTGCTTGACCATTTCATATCCAAACGCCGGGCAGACTCGGCATCCAGGGCCTGCGGACAGGTTCAACAGAGGTTGAGGAAGCCTTATGTGATCCAGGGATTCAAAGGGGGTGAAGGATATCCACCCCAATAATGAAGAATCAGATGCAAAAGAAGATGGAAACTGGAACGGAAACCCTAGATCCCTTTTAATGGGTATGGGGACACAACCCAAAAATGGAGAATCAAATGGAAAAGAAAATGGACTCGAATTATATAGGGGAGTGGCTGCGTAACCCCTAGATGGGGTACTTTTAGCCCTACTCATAGCTGCCCAATGAACCTCCAAGTAGAGGTTTCTGGGAGATTGCCATACTCACGCTCAACTAGGCCTCTCCTTGGACAGAACCATCCCGCTCAGACAAAATGATGAGAAGCCCTGGTAGTAACACGGCAAAATCACAGTTCTATGGCACTCTGGATCATGAAGCAAAGCACGCCACGGCAAGATCACTGAGGACCTATCACGGCAAACAATGAGCAGCATCAGTTCCCAAGCCTCCAGGTAAAGCCAGCTGCGAACCACCTTCTCGTGGTTGTTGGCCTGTTAGTACATGCATCAGTCGGGCGCATGCTAACCAAAGTCACAACTGCTACGAGAACCACAGCCAGCTAGCACGCAGCGTTCAGTAGCGCATCAGTAGCATGGGCGTGGACAGTTTGCCCGTCCCTAAACCCTATGCATATAGATCCCGATATCCCTATACAACCAGTACTTATATAGCCCTATGTTTCCCTACGCTACCCCTATAACCCCATGACACGACTTGCCTTTGCCTTGCAGTGTGGGCGCGAAAAGAAGGCCGGGTGAAGGCGTCAAATGATTTGGGTCGAGCTAGGTTATGGGGCTTGTGTTGGCTTTTCGTAAAATTACAGGGTCTTGTCAGGCAACCAGTATAGCAAGGCACCTTTTGTCTTAAGATGCAAGCTTGGGACCCTTATCCCCTCCCTCTGGCACGAAACCCCGCACCCCCTGTAAATGAATATTCCGCCCATTTTGTGATGGTACTACATTGGGTTCTTTTGTGTTTAGGGCGGAGCTCTTTATTTTGGAAGCGGGAGTGGATTTATCTTGGAAGCTACCGATGCGCAGGCGTTTGGCTGCCTGCTTCACAGCTTGCCGTTGCGAGAGTCCCCAAGTGGGCGCGCGAGTGGAGAACACTACGGCAACCGACCTTGGGTCGAAACGGCTTTTATAGTAGGGGCCTATACCAACATCATGTCGAGGCCCATTAGCCTGTATCCTAAGATATCCTAAGTGTACTGGAATCTATCTAGGACAGACTATATAGACAATTGTTTAAACTACACCAACCTCCAAGAGCCATCCCCGCTGAATACGGGTAGTAGGGCCTAGGGCCTCGGGGAAAGCAGCACAGGGACCAGGAGCACTGATGAGAAACTCGGCTACCAAGGCCCTCGCATGACAGCACAAAGGAAATCTTTTGAGAGGATGCCGGAGTGCTTAAGGTGGCTGAGCTCAAGCCATGCATAACTTGGATACACTTGTAAAGAGTGAAACACAATGACCACAAGAAATACTGATGATGATGAGGATGATGATGATGATGATGATGATGTGGGTGGTTTGGCCTCGGGCAAGTGGCTTCGTGAATGCAAGAAGTCTCCCTTACTGTCCGAACACCAAAGAGACGACGGCTTGGCTCTGCAGTTTGATGTCTCATCGTCACTGCTCTTACTCTGACATTCATGTACTTAGAGTCCTGCATGTGCCACTCTCACACAAGCTACAAGCTACTTGCTCTGGCACTTGTAGTCGCTCGTGCTAGCGCGTATGGTCATTTCCACGATACTTGCCTTGCTATGATTCTGGCCCACGGTTCAGATCCTGGTTCTGAGCACTTCTGTTGCTTTGTAAGTTGAGACGCTCTTGGCAGTCAGGCTCCTGGATGGTTCGGACCTCCAGGCTCCCGAGGCGATAGATTCGGAAGACAACGCCATCCTCCGTGGCCTTGTGGAATTCCTTGGAGGCAACACAAGCCCAATCAACAAGAAATGGCCCAAAAGCCCATTGGCTGAACTTTCATTATCATTGAGATCTTCTACCGTGTGCACCATGGCATGGCTTTTTCAACCAGCGCTTTCCACAAGTCTCCTATGCCTAAGGTCTCCTTGACAAATCAGAAGGGCAAACCAACGCCACCAAGATTCCGGGGCTGCCACAGGGAGGACCTAGGCTCAGCTTGAGAATCTCAAGCAGCAGACGAGAGAAGTAGTTGTAGGAAGAATAGTCAGTAGTAATAAGTAATGACTGTCGTAGCAGCAGTAGCAGTAGCAGCAGTAGTACTAGTAGCAGTAGTAGTAGTAGCAGTAGTAGTAGTAGTAGTGGCAGCAGTCGTCGTCGTCGTCGTCGTCGTCGTCGTCGTCGTCGGCGTCGGCGTCGGCGTCGGCGTCGGCGTCGGCGTCGGCGTCGTCGTCGTCGTCGTCGTCGTCGTCGTCGTCGTCGTCGTCGTAGTAGTAGTAGTAGTAGTAGTAGTAGTATAGTAGCAGCAGCAGC